GAGGCCCCGGTAGCGCGGGGTCAGCGCGTGGCGCAGCCGGTCCTCGGCCTGCAGCAGCGCGCCGGGCTCGCCCTCCTGCAGCCGCAGCACCCGCGCGCTGCCCTCCGCCACCCGCCCGTGCTCCACGCCGAAGTCGCCCGCCAGGCGCCGCAGCAGCTCGGCCCGCGCCCCGCCGCCGCCGCCGCCGCCCAGCGACCGGTAGAAGCGCATGAACTCGGCGCTCCGCTGCTCCAGCGCCGCCCCGGCCGGCGCCGCCGCCTTCTCGCGGGTCTCGTAGGGCGGCAGCGGCGGGACGACCCGCCGGAGCGCTTCGTCCAGGCCCGGGTAGGCCTCGGTTGCCATGGCGACGGCGCTAGGCCGCGGCCGGCCGGAAGGAGGAGGGCCGCGCGCGAGGAGGCGGAAGAGCTGCTGCGGGGTCTCCCGGCAACGGCTCCAGGGGCGCATGCTACCCCTCCCCACACCCCGGTCGTGCCTCGCGCTGCCCTCCCGGCCTCGAAGTCTGCTCCTCGGCCGCGGCGGGAGGGAGAAATACTGGACGGATTAGCGGCGGGGGGGGGGAAGCCTCCCGCCGCCCTCCTTGAAAGGTCGGGCGCACGGCGAAGCGGATTGGGCGCCTCCGGGGAGGGTCTGTCTCCCGGCGGCCAATGAAAAGAGAGAAGGGGGCTGGAAGCTGTCAAAGGTGGGTGACGTCACCGGCGGGCCCTGGTGGGAGTGGCCTCCTCGGCGGCGCTGCCGCCATGCTGAGAGAGGCAAGTTGCTCTAGGCCCCGCCCACCGCTGCCCAGATTTAAAGGCGACTCGCCGGAATACAGGCGCAATAGTGGCTGCGGATGATGGGAGTTGCCCTTCCAAATCCTGGGGGAGTTGGGGGGCAAAGCTAGGGACGGGAAGAACTGCAATCTGTATTTCATAAAGCCGACTTCCCTTGCAGATGTGTCCTGTATATTTATTTATATTTCATATTTCTTAACCGCCCCTCTCCCTGGGAATGTTGGAATAGTTGAAAAAACGGTGGAAATTCTGGTGCTCTGATCAAAGCCAAACATCATCTCAGGAAAAAGGAAAAAAAAGTATTGCACCCTGCGATTTCATGACACCTGCTTGATCAAATGCACAAAGTTCAGGGTTGCCTATTTCCCCATGTGGCAGCCCAAAACTGCTTCACTTAAATAAAACCCATGCAGCACAAATCCGTTAAGCGTGCAAGCTACTGAAACTGCTTTTCAAATTTGGCCACTTCAAGATGTACGGATTTCAATTTCCAGAATTTCCTAGCTGGCATGGAGTAATTTCAACTCCCAGAATTCCGGGAGTTGAAGTCCACATATCTTAAAATTGAAAAACACTGAACT